GGCCAACTCTACGAAAGGATGTAAGGGACTACGCTATGTCGTGTGACATCTGCCAGAAGACCAAAGTCGACCGTAGGGCAAAGGCCGGACTACTTCGCCCTAACCCGGTGCCCGACAGACCTTTCGAGTGGATTTCCTTCGACCTCATCACCGGACTACCCAATTCCGACGGTTACGACGCGGCGTTCGTGGTTGTAGACCGCTGCTCGAAGTTCGGTCTATTCATCCCTTGCAACGGGACTCTTAACACTGTCGACTTCGCTCATCTATTCATATTGAATGTCATCTTCCGTTTCGGCATCCCAGATCACATCATCAGTGATCGCGACGGACAATGGATATCCGAATTCTGGAGAGCTGTGGCTGAGGAACTGGACATACACCTATGCTTGTCATCATCCCACCATCCTCAACACGACGGACAGACCGAAATCGTGAATCAAAGGTTAGAAACTATGCTGAGAGCGTACGTGCAAGGGGACCGGCAAGGATGGGCCAAATGGCTTCCCGCCCTAGCTCACGCTTACAACTCCTCGATCCACTCGGCTACGGGCTATTCGCCCTACTTCCTTCTCTACGGATTCGAACCGAAGGGCACTATGGACTTCATCGGACATACCAACCGCTACGAGCAACGCCCTTTGCTCGTTAGCGAGAAAGCCACCGAATTCGTGATGAACATGGAGCTCCATCGACAAAGAGCACGAGATGCCATTGCCATGGCCCAAGAACAATCTGCCCGCCAATACAATGAGGGTCGGCGGGTGGAGACCTTCCCCGTGGGCACTCGCGTACTCGTCAACCCTCATTCCCTGGAACTAGTTGACGTGAAAGGCACTGGCAAGAAGCTGGTACAGCGCATGTTGGGCCCTTTCGCCGTCATCGAACAAGTCAACCCTTTAGTGTACCGACTCGCTATGCCCAGTACTTATCCCATGAATCCCGTCATCAACATCGAGCACCTACGAAGATACCGCGAACCGGATCTAATTTCCACCGACGTGAGGCGTCCGATCTTACCGGACCCTCGTAACTCCGAACTTCTTGCCATCGAAGAATACGAAGTTGAGTCCATTGTGTCGTGGAGAAGAAACAAGTACCGGAGCAACCGCTTAGAATTCCTGGTTCGATGGAAGGGGTTCAGTCCCATCCATGACACTTGGGAGCCAGCCGCTCACCTCCGCAACGCGCACGAAATCCTCAAGGAATACCGAGATCGTCACAACCTAACCAGGTGAACTCCCGGGAACGCCCCCTCTCCCTTGTTAGATAGTGTACCCCACGGTAGTAATAGTAAATAATGTGCCCTAGATAGTCGGGATCATAGAATCTCCCATTTTAGATTAGTATGGCCTCTTACCCCGGAAGACTAACGGAGCGCGGTTTGGAACGCGACGCGAATCGCGCCTCACTCGAACACGTGACCGTGCCACGGAGGCTTCGGCGCTTGGACCCCCGCGCTTCTTTCGAGCGCCCTCCTCCCTCGCTTTCTCTCCACCCAACCATTCGGCGAGTGTTCGAGCCACCGAACCTCAGCCTTCCTCCACGAACGTTCGAGGTACCGAACTTCGTGTCTCTCTTGTCTACCCTCGCGCGAGCGTTCGAATCCGAACCCCACGTGTACGGGATGGTCGACCTCACCCGTTCAAACTCGGTCTCCCCCCGCTTCCGCTCCACTCTCTGGTTCCCGCAACACTATGAGGCCCTTCCTCCTCGACCGGAATCTCGAGACACCGCTTGGAAGCTCTACCGAGCCCACCGAGTCGTCCGGGTCGCCGCCTCGCTAGGTAACGGCGACTACGCAGTGACTCCGAACGCGGACTTCATCCCGCCGTTCCCTCCCGGCCCTTCAGATAGGGAGGACGTGTTCTCCGACGGACGACGCGGCAAGTTTGAGCCAGGATACCACCCTCAAGCCTGGAATACTTCCAGGGGACACTGGCCCTTCATGTTCGAGGTGCCCGACGGTGACGAAGGCGCGGACCCCGCCTACGTCACACTGGAGTTCACGAAGAAAGGAACGGGCACCTTCCACGTTCACAATCAGCAGACGGGAAAGGGATCCCCGACGGCGACCTTTGCTCAGGCCTTGCAGGTCCTCTACGACGCGGAGGTGACGCGCGCCGAATCGTTCTTCGCGCGGGATAGCAACCCGCCCCAATCCTTGGTCTTGCGCCCGGCTGCCGTTCGAGAGGCGCTCTACCAGTTCCCCGTTGAACTGACGGATCTTTTCTCCGCTCGGAAGAAAGCCGCCCTCATCCAACACCACCTTAGGGAACTTCGCGCCTACTCCTACCGCGCTTACTTACAGGAGTCACTAGAAAATGGCAAGATGTCCTTCCCCAGCGCCGAGACGATGGGAGTAGGATGTTGGATCCGGGAGGGAAATGAGGAACTCCTCAAGAGCCTGTCCTGGTTCGGCATTCGAGTATGGTACGAGCGTCGATCACCGGTCCCCTTCCCTAGCTCCCTGCGGCCAGTACGAGGACTCGACCCTCGCTTATCAAGGGAAGGTTGGGACGAAGAGATTCACGACCACAAGCCATACGTGGGGAAGCGAGGAAGGAAACGTCTTGCAGAAATCGAGGCAGAGCTTCGCGCCGATGAGGACTCCGACTTCGACTGGGACGACCCCGAAGATCTACCTGTCCCTTCCAATCCTCCCTTCATCCCGGGCCCTTCCAAGCCCCTTAAGCGCGCGGCGGCGGCTCTGGTCGCCTCGTTCGTACCATCCATCCCATCCTTCCCGGACCCGGAAGAAGAAGGGTGGAATAACAGCCCGGCCGTCGAACCAGCCGCCCCGTCCTCCCCTCCTCGGCCTTCGTCGCCGGTTCGTCAAAGAGAAAGCAAAACTCCGCCCCGCCGGGTCGACTCTCCAATGGCCATTTCGCCCCCACGCTCCGGGAACACTAACGAGCCGCTCGCATCAACGTCGCACTCGGGAGCGGCCATTCCCCGATTGAGAATCGACAAGGGTAAGAGTCGAGCTCTCTCTCCTCCTCGCCGTACGCACTCTCCCCATCTTCGTCGCTCGCCCCCTTCATCTCGCCATCGTCGCCGACCCCCGTCTCCTATGACGCGCTTTCCCCGCCGCTCCTCTCGATCCTGCTCCCCGAGGGAGAGAAGACAATACGAGCGACCGCGCGGTCGTCAGCCGTCGCCTCGTCAAATCTCTTCCCCGTCACGCCGCGAGCCGCGCGTCCTATTACGCTCGCCTTCTCCGTATCGACGAGAGTACGGCGGCGCTTACCGGCAGGTCCACGACGTCAACCCGGGTCGTTCCCTGGTCAGACCCCGGCGAGCAAGCCCAACCTTCCGTCGACGTTCGCGAAGTCCCGCGTCGTCGACCGGTCGCCCCCCGGCCAACCGAGGCCGGTCACCCCTACGACCCCCTGCCTCGCCGCCCCGCGTGCTCAGAGAAACGCACGAAGAACGTCAGTCGCTCGTCGATCGGATCGCCCCTGAGGCTCCGACTCCGGCGGTTCGTTCTCTGGCCGAACGGCTAGCACCGGTCAGCCTACTCGAACGACTGGCCGCCCCTCAGGAGGCAGTGGACGAGGAAATCGGAGAGAGCAGCAGCACGTCGACCGCCCCGTCGCTATTCAATCGCCTGGCAATACCCCTCGAGAGCCGCCTGTCGGACACGCTGACAGCAGGCCCGTCCACAATCGCCCCCGCCACCCCTCCCCCGACAGCCCTCCACATCGTCACGCTGCCTTCGGGCATTCCTCTGCGCACACGGCTGCCCTTGTTCTCCGCCGCCGAAGTGGATGAATATCTTCACCATCCCTTCGAGCGAAGCGAGAACATCGCGCCCTTCAGACAGTCTTGGGAGCACGAGCTGGGGCCCGCACCCTATTTCCCAGCGGAAAGCAAGCGACCATTGCCCTCCCCCCAACTCCTTCTAGCGGACGGGGATGAGGGGTACCTGGCCACAATCTTGTGGATACATTCGCGTACCGGGTACATCGACGGGCTGCTGCGCGAACCGCACGATTGGCCTGCCCTCATCCACAAACAGTGGAAGTCGCGCCTACGCGGAAACCCGGACCTAGTTCGGGCAGCCAAAGGAACCAGTGTCCGGCCACTCCCGGATACAGTCCTGCTGCCACTGCGCAACCCTCTCCCGAACGAGAAGGAGGATGCAGTCTGGGAGCTCCGTACCTTCCAATTCCGCTACAACTTTGAGCGGTTGGCGGCCGAATTGCTACCTGGGTTGAGGGCGGCGTCCACGGAGTCAGCGAAAGGAGCCATATGGGCCAGCACACGCGACCGCGTGAGGCGTACTTGGGGACCGGGAACGACGCACTACCCGTCCGTGCACGAGCCGCGCTACTTGGACAGCGACGATGACTTGGTACGGCTGCGACACTGGTTTGCGATCGGGCGGCTGATGCTCGAATGGGACCTGAGAGCGGACGTCACTGCAGACCTACAGCTCGCGATGGGGGGCTCTGTTACGGACGCGGTGGAACGCATCAAGTCCGCGTACACCACTACGTACAAAATGGTATTCAAGAATCGCGACCCGCACGTCTTCTGTGCACGTACATAATTATCATTAGTATTTAGTGTTCTAACCCTCATGTAATTATCTAAGACGCGCGCTCGCGACCGACTCGCGCGCGCTTGCCTAATAGAGACGCACTTCTACTTGCTCCTCAACCACTTCGTCCGTGTGCGACTAACCGCGCCGTCCGAACCGGGAGCTCCTTCCAAGGTCGAAGTGCGCTCCTCGCGCGCTGACCGACTGCGTGTGCTACTCACCGCGCAACGGAGCAGCCCCTCGCCAGCTCCTTAAGTCGAGCTCCTCGCCGGCTTAGCGCGTCGCGCTCCTCGCCGACTCGCCTCCCGGGCTCCTCGCCTCGGGCACGACTCTCTCGTCGGCTCCTCGCCGACGCACGACTAACACGACTCACTAGGCTCCTCGCCTATCACGTATCACGACCACCTCTGGCGCCTCGTCAGCTCACGACTTATAAGGCTCGACCGCAGGGCGGTCACCAACGCTCGAGGCTGCCAGGTAGCCCGTTCCCCTCTTGCGAGTTGACGATACTACCGTCTCTCACAGGCGCCTCCTCTTGCCAACGCTCGAAATAAGCCTCGTATTCCTCGCATGCGTCATCTCCGTCGCCGTTGACGTAGCTCCTGAATTTGAACGCTTTCACGCCGTCCGGCCCATCCTGGCCTTCTCTCCAGTGCTTGCATAGGCGGATGAGCTGTTCCTTCTTCAAGTGAGATGGGTCTTGAAATGCCATGTCGTTCAACCACATGCTTGCATCGAGACAGGACGCAGGGGAAGCGTGGGCCTTCCAAGGTATACGCGGGACTTTGCCGTTGCTCGCCGCCACTGTGCAACAATACGCGGTACACGGGATGAGCGGTACTCGGGAACAAACGGGGAACCATCTCACAGTAATGGTGAGTAAGGAACTCTCTGACAATTGCTATCCATTTCTGAACCATGCCAGCAACAAGCGAGTCCAACTCCGCTTCACTAAGCATAATGGGCAGGCCCGTCTCTTCGTCCACTGAGAGAAGCGGCCCAAAATCCGTCTTTTTCTGCGCTTTGCTCGGCTTATCCGGCTTTCCCCTTGACTGCAGAACATCGGCCTTTCTTTGCAGTTGTTCCTTTGCCCAGCCGTCGAACAAGGTCCATATGCTGTTATAGTTTTCCGCGGTCTTCAAGAGCGAACTGAAGTTTGACGTTGCTCCGTGATCCAGGTTGTGATCGATACTACAATGAGCGTAAACGGTCCGTCTATCCATTGTGACGCGTCACTTACACTCCCATCACCGGGCCTTTGTCTGTTGTGTTTGCCGCATACAGTGTCACTATGTATGCGCCGTCCTCAATGAGCGACTTCCGCTCCACGCTTCGGCACAACCTCCCGAGACTGTTCATCATAGGTCTGACGATTCTCAGTTTCAGCAGCAGCGAAGTTAAGAAGAAGCGTACTCGAGGGGCAGGAGACGCGGTGTTATCTTGACTCCTTCTTTGTGGACCAGGTTGCGTAACTCTTCCGCTTTTCCCTCCCAAACCGCCTTTTCTTCCTGGGGCACTTCTCGCCAAGTTGCCCACCGCGCATCGGTAAACTTTGACAATGGATCGTTTGTTCCTTCACTGTATGCGTTGTCGTAGACTTCCTGCCTATGTTTGTCGAGCCAGACATCTGTGCCACGGATCGTACCCATCATGACACCTCTCTTTCGCTTCTTTGGCTGACGCTTACGCTTGTTGGACACGTCCGCCAACCACTTCTCAACCGCCTGCCACAGCAAAATGAACAAAGGGTGTGGGGCGATGAGCGTGACATACCTGCAATCTGGCCTCCTTTGGCAACGGTTCCAGTTCTCCCAGCTGCACCTGCTCCAGTTCATTCAAAGCCGTTGCAATGACATCGTCACGTGCTGTTCCATTGGCATTTATGTATTTATCCACAGATGCCTGGAGGATTGTGGTCTGTGTGTCGTCCCAAGTAAACATTTCTGACACAGAGGAGAGGAAGCAGAGAGAGTGGGGGAGTGTCTGCCGTGATATGTCGGGGCGCACCGACATTACCGTTGCCATCATCGGGTATTACGGCTCAACCCATTTAGGCGAGTCCCGCTGTTTCAGTGTCTTCCTTTGACATCAGGAAAACCCTGATTTACTGAAACAGTCTTCAGCTAACATATTTGCACGCCGGCCAGCATTTGTGACCATCAGTGATCTTCTCACTACACCAGTGACTGGCTCTGACTATCAATGGCCAACTGAAGTAACGCAAAGTGCCAGTTGCATACACTAATGTAGACTCTATATCAACTCGGTCAAGTCATTCAACAGCAAGGCAAAGACTCCTGCGGCGTCCAAGACTGCAGCTGGATCATCGAAGGATGCAGCGAACGCAGAGAGTGGACCGTCACGTCCGTCGCGATCAAAGTCCGGCGCGAAGAAGGCCCAGGAGAGTTCGGGGGAGCAAACTTCCAGCAGCGAGCGTGAGGTCGATGAACTCGGCAATGAGTGGTAAGTCAGTCAGTGTCCAGTGGTTTCTTTGTATCTCACTGCGAGAGGTACATCACCAAGATGTCGTAGTTGTCCTGTCGCATCAAGGCCGTGAACATCATCAACTTTGTCTGTTTCGCGTGGCAGGAGCAGTAGAATCGGTCCATTTCCAAGGCGAGTGTTTCTATGCCCATACCACCTCTATCTACACTTACTCATACGACAATCCTGCAGCTACTATATCTATCATCCTCTGTACTACTACACATCAGACGTGCGTGCCTGCTACGTATCCCACTCTCCTTCTACTACTATTTGCCTGTCTCAGCCGTGGTCGTCATCCCGGCGCCGTCTGACCTCGAGTCTATGCCTATCTGTTGATCGTGCTATACCAGTAGTTATGTGTCTGTATATGTTGTACAACAACCCGCACTGCTAATATTTATGATGTGATCTGGTACATGTGCATAAGTGGACATCAGCAGACTTAATTCTGTACATAACTGTACTTCAGCACGCCCACTGAAGTACATATTGTAGGTGAAATAAGGGCAACTAAAGACCAAAATGACAACACAATTAAGACTGAATAAGACACAAGATGTCTTTATTGCGTACATTAGTGCTCTTATGCATAATATCAAAGACACAATAAGACGGGGACTTGTCTTAAGTGCCATGTTTTGGTCTTATGTAACATTTTATGTCTTTTGTGTCCTATACGTTCCTAAGATGTCTTGTAGATGACCTCTGATGAGACCTTATGTAGGCACGGTTTTTCCTGATGGATGCGCCTGTTGACTCGTTTAGGCAGTCTGACATCACGGGACCGCTGCGGCACCCTTTTGAGTTAACCCACCAATCGGCTATTGCCACCGGATGACTCCTGCGTGCCGCATTAAGCGGAATGAATCTCCGATCCCGATCACAAAGGCAATCAGTCGCTGCAAATCACTCGGGGCGCTACTTCGCACCTTGTTCTCAACCGCCACTATTGTCGCTTCAATATATTGTCACTTCAACACAATGGAAGGCATGACAAGTATGCCTCTCTATTGCAAGTAAGAGCCACACTAACTCAACACTTGTAGCCTTGACGTACATCGAAACCGTTTCTTCGGTCCTTCGCTGGGAGACCAAGCTGGTGTACCGCCGCTTGTTAAAGAGCGATGCGCCAATGCCTCCGCCGGATGAATACTATCGCCCTTCGACGTTATCCGCGTCTATGGTCTCCGAATGCGCGTATGCGGCATCCATCATCGCTCATGCCTGCAACTCGTCAGGTGCGTAGATTTGTTTGTCTCCACATCTGTCTAACTGTATCAATAGTTACCGTTGACATGGACGCTGTGCGGTACAGTCAGCGGCTCAACAGGCTGAGTGACCGGGTCTCCGACACCGACCTGCAACTGCGTGACTTTGGCCATGACGCAGACTATGCTATTGAGCTGGATCTGCCTTCCGTTGTTGTTGACAAGTTCGGGGTGATGCTAGTGTGGTATCTCCCCGATGTGCTGACTCCGTGGCGCCAGGTACGTTTGCATGCCGCCTTTCCGGTATCTGGCACTGAGTCGTCAAATCAGAGGCAAATGCAAGATGGTCTCTTGACGGTGCGTCGCCAATTCAAGCAGAATTCCCCGCTGTCGGTTGAGTCCAAAAAAAAGGCAAGCTGGCGTCGCTTGGAAACAAACTTTCGCGAGGGGTGTGAACAAGCGCTCCCCAATGGAACACCGACATTTGCACCCGCTTGGTACGCCGTTGGGTCCAAGGTAAGCACATTCTCTCAACACTATGCTAATCTCACTGCCGGTGTGCAGATTGGACGTGAGCCGCCTACAACGTAGGCAACGCTTACTGGCATAAACAAGGAGTCCGGGTATGCGTTCATGGACGACATGAAGGACACAATGGCCCTTGTCACGGCTATCCTTTCCGTCATTCACCCTACGCAGTATAGCACTGGGATGGCCGTCCTTTCGAAGCTCATGCAAAGCGATGACTACGCGGAAGTCCTTAATCACTGGGCATCGTGCTTCACAGCGATGCAAATCATCAACAACCGTGTCAGTCCCGCCCATCTTGACCCGGGAGCGTCGTACGGTTGCTTTGACATGGTGGCAACCGTGGGCAACTACAGCGGGGGCTTGTTCAAGTTCCCTTCCCTGTCTCTCAATGTCGATCAGCGGCCAGGAAGCATCCTCGCTTTTCCCGCCCATATCCTCCAGCACGAAGTAACGGAATTCACAGGCAACCGGGTTTCCTTTGCTTGGTTTATGAAGGATGCCGTCCACTCCTGGACACAAGAGAAGCAGGTTGACTGGTCTGACACTGCTACATTTGGACACTTGATGAATGTATTGGGTTGATGTAACGTCGCTGATAGCTGGTCGTAAATATATGCATGTCATGTCCTGGCTATAGGCGTCATGCCTGGTAACGAGGCAAAAGAGGCGTGTGCCTCGTCTGCGAGCGCTTGCCAACGCCCCTGCTGTCGCATGGCGTATGAACGATGCCCAATACTGCCCCGCTCAAGGCTAGCCCACTCCCGGGCGTAAAATTCAAAAGAGCGGATCGTCCGCTTCATCTCCTCTTTCACCAACACCACTTGCTCATCCCATCGGTCGTGCCTCGCCTTTTGACGCAGCCAATTGACGCGATGGACTGACAGATGTTGATAAGCGTGGGTCACCGAAGTAGTGAGACACTTACGCTCTGCAAGCCATTCCGAGTTCTCCGTGTCTCCGCCTACATCCACTGACCATATCCATGACAGCTCTTTCCTACTGCTGTTGCGCTCCGTATGATCGACGAGATGTGTTGCTGCTGTGAGATCTTCCTTATGCAATGGCCTGTATTTCCTCATCACTGGCGGCAGTGTCTGCAGAAAAAGGCGGAAAGCGGACTGCCTCGCCTCATCTGTGGGCTGCAGATAACAAATAAGCGTCATCATGGTCGTCCACTACTTTCCCTCACCTGAGTTATCTGCTTGCCTTTTGCTGCAGCCCCGGCTGTCTGCTTTGCAATCGCCGCCGCCTCTTTCTTCGATGTGTAGAATTCGTTGAACCGCTTGTCCATTGCCTCGCCCTCGCCTACCGTCATTACAAGCGGTATCATATTCCTGCGGGCCAGTGTGAATACCCGAGACCACTCGGTGATCACTTTCTCCACATTCTGGGCTTCCTTGAATGCACGCGTCTGCATCCGCTGGCTGTTGGCCGGCCGGACTTGGGTCACATAGACCATCGATTTCAGACCAATGGCCATGCGAAGCCTGTGCAGAGCGTCGTTCGCTTGCCCTTCACGCAGGCGGAGCTCCTGCTCCCCGAGTGCCCGCTTGTTCATATTCGCCAATTTCTCGCGGCCAATGGTGGAGGGCAGCCGCAGCGGAACACTCTCTGGCTGTGTCTCGTCATCTGGATCCTCAATAACGACCATGTCATCCGTCACATCCGGGTCCTCTGCCACGTCTGCCCAGTCCTCGCCTGTGTAGGCCGCCTCTGGCTCGTCGTCCGTCTCTTCCCCGTCGTCATCCGAGTCGGCACCGTCTTTCCAGAATGTGGCCGCCTGTTTGGTAAAGCTGTCGATGCCACGCTGCAGCCTGTTCCGCCTATTCACCAATTGTAGCTGCTCGGTAAGAAGCGAGTCGCTTTTGACGCGCCTCGCCAATGCGGCGACAGTCAGTCTGACAGGCATTGAGCATATAACGACGCCGTTGAAGAGGCAACGTACTGCTGCTCCTGAAGCGCCAAGCCCTCTGCTAGCCATGATGCAAGGCCGGGATTAGCCTTTGTCCTTCCTTCTTCCTGTTCCAACAGAAGCTGGATGTCTCGCTTGCCAGGTGCTGGACTGGCGATCAATAAGCGGACACATTGAGGGAGAAGCGGGCCACACCTTTTGTCTGCATCACCTCATACGGCTCCATGACGCTCAAGTCGTCTCGCCTCTTCGCCCGCGCTTGTGCCTCGATGCGCTTCCATTCTGCCAAGTGCTCGACATTGCTCGACGACTCCATATTCCTGAGTGTCTCCTTGCTGAGTGCCAACTCCTTTACCGCCTGTAGGAATCGCTTCGAGAGCATCTTCACTGTAAATGGGGTTCAAGTGTTGCTTCAACGCTTTGAAACAAAGCGACTTACCCATGCCAGTTGTCTTCCGCCAATTCGAATCGTTCATATGGTCGTCTATCACTTCTTTCCGATGCGACGTCGACATGGCCCGGGTGCTGCCTGAGATCCTGTTGAGCGAAGCCCACAACGTCTCTATGACCTCGCCATCTACTAGGCCCGCTCCTGGAATGAAGCTTGGTGAATACTTTACCAGGCAATCTCGTTGATGCCCATGGACGTGGAACTTGCCAAATCCCCAGTCGATCATGGCAGATGGCCATTTCAGGAATTGCGGGCTGCTTTCAAACCGGGCCTTTGCTTTCTTGCTGTATTGACATGAGACGTTGTACATGATCAGGAAGTGCTTGATTCCCTCATGATGTTTCAATGCCTGGGAAAGGGCGTAATCCATATTCATTTGTCTGCCCCAGGAATGAACGTGCGACACCTGAGAAATGGACGGGTCCATACCGTTCGCCTTTCTGAAAATCGACTACAGAGTGAGGCACAAAGCACCCGTGTCGTCCACAGGCAACCGCTCCAATACCCGTCGCTTCCATGTCATGTCGATCCGCATTTGCCTGATTGACGGCTCGGTGTGCATGGCAATTCGATTTCTATTATTCCTCAGGGCCCGCGCACGCTTATGATGACCCAAAGGCGGCTTACCTCCCGTACGTCCACTGCCGCTTTCAAATGTTCCTTGTAGGGCAAATTGGTGACCATGAACCCGTGCCCATCGGCGAGCGGGATATCATCGCCCGGTCGGCGCATCTTCAAATGCTCCGCACTGAAATTACCGTCCATGACGAAGGACACCGCATGTTTCCAGCTAAATACTAGCATCAACCGCTTGTTCGCTTCTTTTGCACTGGACTCACGACTCGTTCTCATTTTCCCAGCCTGCTGCTAGGTTGATACCGGGGCGGGGACACGCGACACAGCTCAATGTGAGCTTTCCGGGTCCGAGATCTCCACAACCATGGCCATACCCCTTCCATTTGCGGTATTTGAGATTGCGCCATTGTCGGCTGGTGCGCAAGAGTTCCCGGTAGCGATTCTAAGAAGCGGATCAAAGGGCCGCTTCATTGCCGAGGTGAACTGTACTTACTGGCACTCTGTGTGGAAAGGCGGAATTGGACAGACGACGGAGGCGTTCAAAATAGCTCTGAGCAGCGATTCCAGACACCTTGTTGGCGAGTAAGAAATCGTCCAGGACACGGAATGTGAAGCAGGTTCGAGGGCGAGAGACGGATCCAGGATATAGACCCATGGTGAGCAGCTGAAATATGTCCTTGTCCGCCCCCGGGCAATCACAGATGCTTGCGCGCAGCGAATGGACGCCAGTGATGTCGACAACCGTCAGCTTACGAACGGATGCATTGGCTTCAATTTCACACGGCCTGTTTCCATGGCCAAAGTTGACGCGGAGTCCAGCGGCATATAATGAGCTGGCGATGAAGTATCCTGTTTTGAATATGAGCGTGCGCACTAGACAATTAGGCTGAATTGAACCTTCTGTGGAGGAATGCATTCCAAGTTCTGCTCCGTATTCCAGCTCATCCACCCAGGCCTCCGCTTCTTCCTTATCCGCTTCTTCCTTATCCGCCTCTTGGCCATCCGCGTCCACATCAGGCGACTGTATTGAGATCGCTTGCTTTACTCCTTTGGGCACCCACCGCTCTACGTGGTGAAGATAGTTGATGCTGTGCCGATTGATGCAGCAGTCAGTGCATAGGCTTGGTCGGCCAACACAGTCAACGCATCTCCATGGGCTCCACTCTTTGTAGCACATCGCACATTGCCGTCTATCTCGCGGACCTTCTAGCTCGAGTATGCAGCCAAGCATTTGGTCTCGGACTGGCACCCATTGTCGTATGAAGTCCGCCTGAGTCTGCACCGCCATCAGCAAAGGTCTGAGCAATGTCCGCTACTTACTGATCCAGATGCTTTTGTCTTTCTGCGCTTCTCGGGCCGCGGGTTCTCCACATCCTCCATGAAGTCTGGAATGCATATGTCGTGGTCTGCCTCCTCCAGCGTCTCTGCCACTGCGGCTGCAGCTGCTCTTGAGGGACCGGAAGGCATATCTGGTTCGCTGGGTACATCGAGGACTGGAATCGCCTTATGGCTCGTTCCTTTCTTGGTCTTTCTGACTTCTGTACGCATTACCGTCACCGCCTGGGAAGAGCCCACTGCGTGCCATTTGCGACGCGACATGGTCGTTGAGACAAAGAGAAAATTGCCCAGACACACATGCTGGGACCACATGTACTACCGCATGGTCGGCAAAGGTTCTACATCATGCTTATACACGTTGCAGTGCTTGCCGACCGGACCCAGCAGCCGAAGTGTACTGCTTGTCTGGCCAGGTGGTCGCCGTGGGAAGGAGGCAGATGCGCGACTTAGTCTTTCACAGAACAAGCGGACCTATGATCATGAGATCCGTCTATCAACAAATATTGTGCATTTTTAAGAGACCGCCCCATTTCATACGAGCAACGTCATCAGAGTCAGTTGCGGGGCAGAAGGACGTCTGTCTACTGGCACATTGAACCAACTGTACTGCACAATATCCAATGCGATAAGCGGTCATCTGTCTCTTGTTAGGTGTCGCCAATGTCGGAACCCGCGCTCCCGACCACCCGCTCATCATGTCTCCGCCTCTTCGATGTCCGCCTCTTCGATGTCCGCCTCTTCCATCTCCGCCTCTTCCATCTCCGCATCCCAGCCGCTGCCAGCATCGTAGGCTTCATAGCCGCAGCCCTCACTACCGCTGGCATTGTCTTCACCGTCCTCACTGCCGCTGGCACCGTCTTCATCGTCATTTTCATTGACGAGGTCGCTAAGCCACTGCTGTTGAGCAGGCAGCTCCACGCAGTGGTGCGCCCTCACAACTTACCTGCAAGGTTGCTGATGCTTGATGCACACGCAAGTACTTCGACTGAAGGTACTGGGGATTGAGCTACGCTACTGGGGTCCTTATATACATGAGGAGACCGCTTATCTAAGCTACTGTATAGTACGTTCCCACGACATACAAGGTAAGTGGCGTAGCCATGTGATAACACACAGATGACATCATAGATGACATCACGGACCCGGAGCTTCCCATAGAACCGGTCCGGCCTGTGATTGAACCCGGCAGCCCGGTAGGCGCCTTCCTAGTTCAACACTCCCCCTCGCTTAGTGCGTCGTAGACTCACATAAGCGTACTAGGCGCATAACGCTGCCAATGGTGCTCTAGGACGATTCATAGAATCTAAGTCCGAGCATTCCTCTAAACTTAAGGAATTTGACACGGCCTAAGTTCTTGGTGAACAGGTCTGCTGGATTTTCATCGGTACTGATGTAGAAGAGCTCGACTTGTTTCTCCTCAATCAGTTCCCTGATGTAATGGTAGCATATGTCGATGTGCTTCGACCGCCTCTCAGTTACAGGGTTGGAGCCGATGAATATCGCTCCTTGGTTATCCGAGCAGATAGGGAGTGCGCCAAGTAGGTATCCGATCTCCTTGAGGAGCATCTTAACCCAGACAACTTGGCGGCTACAGTCACTGAGTGACATGTATTCAGCCTCAGTTGAAGACAGTGCAACCGTCTTTTGCCGTCGAGACAGCCAACTGAACACTCCGTTCGCCAACTTCATAAAGTAGCCACTCTGAGACCGTCTCATCTCTGGGTCATTGGCCCAGTCAGAGTCTGTGCATGCCGAGACACCTTGTCCAGATTTGCCGCTGTATACAAGTGCATAGGACTTGGTACCCACGAGGTAGCGGCAGATATATAGCGCTTTATCCAAGTGGTCCTGTGACGGATTCGCAGCTTGTTGCGCGAGTTTAGTCACGGCAAAGCAGATGTCAGGTCGAGTTCCGAGCATGATATATAGCAAGGAGCCGATGACGGTCTGATACCGGCTTCGAAGCGCAGGATCAACCGGGCCAGTGTGCGGCTCAGGTTTGTAACCCGCAGGGAGTGGAGTAGGCGCAGATTTTGCATTCTGCATGCCACAGCGCTGCAGCACAGTCTCAAGGTAGGCAGTTTGATCGAGATGAATCTCGTCGCCTTTCCGAGTAATGCGCATACGCAGGAACTCCTTGACGTCGCCTAGGTCGCGACACTCCCACTTCTTCATGAAGCGGTTCTTGAGTTTGGCTACAAGGGCCTTGTCTTTGCCACAAAATAGGGCATCATCCACATAGACTATGACTAGGACGAAACGTCCGTCTTTTGTCTTATAGATGAAAATTCCGGCGTCGGATACAAGGCGTGTAAAGCCGAGTTCCTTGAGAGACTCATTTAGGGTGCGCCACCACGCTAACCCTGCCTGTTTGAGTCCATAGAGAGCACGCAATAGCCGGAGGACTCTGTGCTCTTGGCCTTTGACTTTAAAGCCTTCAGGCTGCTCCATGTAAATCTCCTCGTCGAGTTTACCATAGAGGTACGCATTACGGACATCGAGTCCGGAGATGTGCATGTCCTCGAGCGCAGCTAGCGCGAGTATAAGGCGCACGGTCTCAAAGCGAACGACTGGAGAGAAAACCTGATCGTAATCGAGGCCTTCAATCTGGGAGTAGCCTTTTGCGACTAGTCTAGCCTTCTTTCGACCGTCAGTTTTGACGTCGAAGACCCAGCGGTTTTTGGTAACCCTACGTCCCTTAGGACGGTCAACCAACTCATAAACACCACGCTTGCGCAGAGCCTCTAACTCTTCGCGACACGCAGCTTTCCACTTCTCTTGCTCCTCTTTAGGTAGCTTCGAGATATCACGGAATGTCCATTCGCGTACGCTGGACTTCGGAGAATCTTGGTCAACTAGTGGTAGCGCTTTTGCAAGCAGCATGTTAACCAATCCTACTCCCCCTTCCCGGCATAGTTGTGCCATGAGTAACTCTTCGACTTCGTCGTTGTCAGAGCCCGAGGAGGATCCAGAAGGTTGGTCTGGCTGTGGATCAGGCGCAGAACTAGGTCCGGGAACCGGTTGCTGCCTTGACTGTGGTTGAGAGCGGGAGCTACCCGGCTCTTCTCCGACAATCTTTCTCCATTGCCCCTTCTTTTCGATCTCTTTGTATATTTCTACGGGGGTCCGTTTCTCCCCATAGACATTCCCTGGGCGGGTTACTGGCTTCCGCTCTCTCCCTGAGCGCCGCGGCGCATCATCGCGCGCTAGCTCTTCCGGAGGTTGAGGCGGCGGAACTGGACTGGGCGCCCTAGGCTGCTCCTGAGCATCGTCACGCTCATTGTCCGCTCCCTTTGGAAGGTGATGAGAGGGATGATCGTTGTCATCGTCATCATAATTCTCCTGAGAAGTGGGTTGGCGACCCGCTTGGTCAGGTCTAGGTGCAGATTGCAACCTAGTGTTGCCTCGCCGTTTCATGTCCGGGCATTTTGGGAACATGAGTTCATCAAACAGAGCGTTCGATGAAGTGTAAAGCACATTATTAGGGCTGCGCATGAATCGCGCCCCATGCCCACCAGGGGCAACCCCGAGGTACACCATTAACTCAGATTTCCGAGATAGTGTATTCTGACGCACGTCTTTCGGTATGAATACATATGCGCCGCACCCAAATATTCTTAGGTGCTTGATGCTGGGAGCCTCGCCATTTAACATCTCATAGGGGGTACGCCATTTGAGACGTCGGACAGGTGTCCTGTTGTAGAGATGAACAGCGTGCTCAACCGCAAATTCCCACCAGGATTCAGGTAGACACGCTTCATGGCGCATGGCCTCAGCTTTGTCCATTATCGTCCTGTTGAGTCGCTCCGCTCTGCCATTCTCCTGAGGAGTGTGCGGCGAACTTTGCAGGATCTGGATACCCTCGTCTTTCAGCATTTTGTCAAACGCTTCAGACTTGTATTCTCCCCCAGCATCTGACATCCACTTCTTAACCTTCTTTTTTTTTTTTTTTTTTGGATGGCTATAACAGACGGTGGCAGACCACAATTGGTGGGCCCCAACCGTCCAGCCTAAGTCTCAACAAGTGTTCGAATACGCAGTCCAAGGGAAAAAATGCCTTTACGCACGGCTCAAAAGCCAGTGTGGGGCTCGTCAGCCTGGGTCGAAATTTAGGCATACTCTAGGGACACCAGTACCTGGCAGGGCCATATATAATGTACAGTAACAACTGCCAAACAGTGTTGTAAAAACGGTGCTACTCGCTGCCAGCCTTATGCAAAACTCTGCGGTAGCCGCTGCGCTAGCGCCCCGCCTACGGGGACACGTGACAGTCGCCCTGCCTGGGGGCCCCGGCCGCCTCCATGACTATACGGGCGATATACCGCAATATACCTCCGGGACGGCCGCTCTCCCGCTGTGGCGCTGTCCCGGCGGGAGGTCCATGTGGCTATAAACCATAGAGCGACAGGATCTGAAGATCTGACGGTGCGCCACGCTTCTCGTATCAGCAGCCACGCGACATGCTGTTCCTTTCCTGCAACTACCATCGTGTAACAACCGCATTTGGCCACGCAGGTATGTCTCAATTCGCCAGATTCGTTCATACGTATTTTGCTTACTCTGCGATCCTGGGATCCACTGGGGCATTCAAAGGGCTTCTGCAACGAGCTAAGCAGCCAGAGACTCGCGATTTCACAATGCAATGGGATCTGCAACGGTATGTTGCGGAACGCTCATCCCGATTGGGCATATGTTCTTTCTCACCGAACACGTCTATCCATACAATCCGTGCTGTGTGACGGGCGCTTCTGAGTCAGTTGGGCCCGGAAGGTGAGCAGCAAGGCAATGGTTTTGCAACACAGGCGCAATCCATGGTCGGCGCGGTATGTTGCGAAACGTCCGGATTTGGTCGTATGTTTTTGTTCACAGAATTCGTCTATATTCTGTATGTGCTCCTTGATACGTGGGCTCTATCGAGACAAGATGATCTTATACGAGTGTTCAATTAGGTATCAGACAATGGTATGGACAAACAGTCGCTGTCCACGCTCAGAGCCGTATGTTGGAAAAGGCTCATTAGGGCGGCACGTGTGGAATGTGCCGAATTGGGCGATATACCGTTTTGCTCGATGGTCTTCAACATACGAGCGTTGGATTGTACATGTAAACTCGCGTTTTGGGGGGCATGAGGGCGCGATCGACAGGAGCTCATGCTATCCCACAAGCTACAGCTCTGCAGCGTAGAGTTGTTCCGTATGTTTGATCTGACATGTAATTTTAGGGCCGAATCGAGCGCTGTTCAGGCAACCAGTCGCGAACGGTCGTCGTCAAGAACATATGCATTATGTGGAAGGGTCAGTCAAGTAGCTACAAACTCAACGATAGGTCTTGTACCACTTGTCGTTACTTACTGCATTCGTTGTGCGATTGATACATTCGGGTGCTCCACAATGCATTCAACGATTCAACTGACTACAAGTACAATACATGAGCACGACGTCAGAGCAGTACGCGTACACAGCCAATACAAGTGCGGACTCAGACCATTGCATACTTCACGACTCGCTGTCCCCGTCGCGTTCCGGCTCAGCCTCACTTCCCGCCGCGTCATCCTCCATCAGGCCCTTCTTGAGCGCGTTCCATGTGTTCGACGCGTCGTCCTCCGTCAGGCCCTTCCCGACAATGACCCATGTGTCCACGAAGCGCCAGACCTTCTCGCAGATCGACCGCATAGACTTACGTATCTCCGCCTGGCGATACGCGTACGCCGAAAGGCCTTCGCAGTAGTCGGCCGAAAGTGTGTCCGAGCGCGGGTCTGCCTTGCTGAGCCATTCATCAGCTTTCCACTCGTGGTAAGCGAGCACCCGCCGCATCTCCTCTCGTACGAGTTCGACTTCTTCTTGCCAACGCTTTGCTCGCGCTCGCGTCCTGCACCACTCAATTCGCAAGGCTACGACCGACTGTCAGCTACAGCCACTGCAAGGCAGCATTACTCACCTTCATGCAGTTCAGGCTTTTGCGCGTCTTTGGGGCCAACCTGTGGAGTCGTGCGCCAGATCCAAGACAAGATGCGAGTACCTTCCGTCTCCTTCTCATTGCCCGCCGCCTCTCGCGTCATCAGACGCACATCGTTGTCGGTGAGTACCTTGAGCGTCTCTTCCCAGCCCGACTTTCCGAGGAGACGACTAAGCTGCCAGAGAGCCTGCCTGACTCGTCGATAACGAGCAGAATCGGCACGGACCTTCTGCTCGACGGTGTCGATGACGGACCTAGCGCGAGTGTTCTCGCGTTGCCCACGCGTGAAGCGATCTTTGAAGTGATACAAGTGGCTCGAAAGGCGAAGGTGCTGTCGAAGGGAGTCAAGGGACTCGTGCGCCTGCGCGTATCGGAGGCGCCACTCGAACTCCCGGAGAGTAGGTTCGACTCGGAGCCTGGACTCGATTGCCGAAGGGAGTAGGAGAGGGAAGTCGTAGACTGCCGCGTCTTTGTCGCCAGACGCCTTGAGCGTGTTTGTGCGAAGGACCTCGACGCCGGGGATATAGACTTGCTGGATCTTGGCCCACGCGTCGATCTTGCGACGGAGGGTGTTTGTACGTTCGAGAAGATCTGCGCGTTGCTTGTCCGTAGAATAGGTGCTGAGCTTTGCCGTTTCCAGGCGGAGGCGTTCCCTGCGGCTTTGTCAGCACAGACCACACGTCGAAGTAAAGCCAGACTTACTGGAGGTCCTCAAGCTCTAATCCGGCTGTGATCATGACAGTCGGGGACATGTCGTCGTGGCAGGCCACCAGTGTACCTGCCTGGAGCAGGGCAGACTCTTCCTCCGCGAGCTCCCGTCGCACAGCGGCCATGGTCATCTCTGAATGGACATTAGTCGAAAGGGGGCATGATCCAACATGTAGATACTCACTCGGTTCAACCGCCACGAAGGGATTTGGATTGTTCGCAGGGTCGTCTTCCCACTTCTCCACCATGTTCGTCCACGCCGCGACACTGCCAAGAGGGAGGACCTCCGTGAATTCCTCGAAGGCGAGCTGGTGTTCACTGGCGTTAGGTACTGCGTCCTTGATCTTCGACAGCAACGCCGGACCTATATGCAAAGATGAGGACTGTGAGAACAAAAAGAAGTGTGAGTAACGTACCCATCTGTCGGACCTTCCGCCAGTTGTAGTCGCCAAAGACGTCGTCCAGCACATCATGACGATGGCCTGGGCCCATCTCCTTCGTGCTCGACGCAAACGGATTGACCGCGGCCCACCCGCGCTCCACAGCCTCTCCGTCGGTGCGGCCCACGCCTGCAGTGAAGTTGAAGGAATAGTCGGTCTGGCACGAGGACTGGTGAGCGGGCAAGTGGAACTTCGGGATCAGGAAGCGGATGCGGTGGTTCCCAGGATCAAACGGCAGACCATACGTTGAACGGCGCGACCAAAGGTTACGAGACCATTGACAGGAGATGTCGTACGAGGTGACGATCTCCGGCGTGGCGTGATGCAAGAGACTGGAGAAATATATGTAATCCATGTTGACATACCTGTAGAAGCGTCAGTCCGAGTCGTATGTTCCATGCGTACGTGACTTACCGCTCCCCGACCTGGAGGTCGGCAACCGAGCAGGGTCGCTTCATGTCGTGTCGTGTACACTCGACCGTTCCAACGCCGCTGGTGTCAGTCTCACGGACCTTCTTGATGTTCGCGAGCTTGATCGCGTCGTGGTTGTGACATGTGTTCGACTCTTTGGGCATATCATCAAATTGCCGGAGGAACTCCTTGTACTTGATGTCCTCGACGAAGAACGCGTACCCCTTGTTGAGGCCAGGATCAACACGGTCGTTCGAGACCTTCTTGCGCTTCAACCGGAAGTTCGCATCGAGGCCGACGAACAGCCGGTACAGCCAGCTGGATGGGTGTAAGTCAATGGTGCAGAGAAGGATCGTACTGCGAAACGTACCTCTTTTCTTTTGGCGCCGTCTTCCAGTTCGACGGTAGGTTCTTCTCGGGATGAGGGCACGCAGGACACTCGACCGCGCATTCGCCGGGTGACGTCCCGCTGACACCTGTTGGAGCGTGGCCACGACCCGCACGCTTTAGCATCTTCAGATGGCTCCATTCACGCGTCATCCGAAGAAATGCCGAGTAGCGATCCTGCACGCAAACGGGGTCAGACGGCAATCAAAAGCTAGGGAATTGTACTTACTGCAGGCTCCTGCGGGGCCACATTCTCAGTTCGGCGCGCCAAGGTTTGGTAGAACTCGTGCGCGGATATCTTGGACTGCGTGCGCAGAAGGTGGAAGTGCTCCAGGAGCCGGTAGGTAGCCGCCGTCTTCGGGTTGGTGACCATGGCTGGGAAGAGCCGTGCACGCATGAGCTGGATAGGTAGCTGTCGCTTCTGGTGACAGTTGCAGAAGTCGATGCCGATGTGGTGAATGCCTGAGATGTCAAGGATGACAAAGTCATCATTGAAGGCCGGTTTCGGGTTCGGACAACGCTCGCCGGGTGGGTGGCCAAGCTGAATGCGCATGCCCAGGTGTTTGAGCGTCGTGCGGCGGAAGTGATCCTTTACCCAGACCTGGACACAACGCGTGAGCAAGGCCATTGCGTGCCGTGGAGTATGAGTCAACGTACCGTGAGACGGTGCCAAGGGTTACGTGAATGATTTGAGACCGTACAAGCACTGCAATAGAGCTGCAGGTCCGCGCAATCTGCGCAGCGGTATTCCGCCAGACCATCGTCACACGAGGAGCATTGCTCGCCAGTATATTCGCCGCGGCCTTCGAGGCGTAAGAGCTCGAGCAGCCAGTCGTCGATTCCGACAGCCCATTCGTGCAATGGTTGATCCTATAAGACATATTCAGCCGCGTACAGGGAGTAAATGATTGAATTTGCTCACACTGGCTGTATGCTTTCGTCGCCGCTGTTCGGCCTCCCTGGTATCCTCCGCAGTGAACTGGTAATTGGGCCCGATGTCCTCGTCAAGCACGTCAAGTTCGTCAGGGATGAGCTCCGGGAGGGAGGTTGTACTAGGGCCCGGTGAACTAGGAAGGGAGTAGAACGACGTGTGGCTAGAGAGGCCAGCCGAACTCTGGACATAGTCGACATGGCGGGTCTTTTCTGTAGTCGCTGCAGCAGTGGGCGGCCGGTCGTCATCATCATCGGGGACGAGATGCACTTCGTAGTCATGTCGACGACGCTTTCGACCCATGGCAGTGACAATTACCGCCCAGAGGCGTTTGAGCTTGCGACAGGGAGCCATCAGGAGAGAGGGACTGACGACTCTTCAAGCAACGTACCATCGGTCATAAGGGCCGCCCCGTCCTCGTGCGGTGCACACACGTGGTGTGGTATTCTTCAGCCTCGGCGTGGTGAGGTAGCATGTGGTCGAGTGGTCGAGCCAGGCAACTTCTCTGTCATGCACGGGAGCAACGAGGCGCGGATTCTCAGACAGGATGTCAACTCGTTCGAATGATGTGCACTGACCGGCATCTCCATATCCCGCTTCCGCTATCCCATCCATCCGTCCCACAGCAACAAGTGAAGAGCGTCGACTCGGACTTGCTTGCTGGTCGCCTTGCGTAGTGCCGACCATTCACCACGGTCTCACTGTCTCTCCTCACTGTCTCTGCTCCAGAGTCCTGGCGGAATTGGCTTCCGATTGCACTGGCCGCAGATCGTTTCATCTATCAAAGCGATAGGGAAAGGTAAGATGAGCTCATTGTAGAAGCTCAAAGCCTGCTCACTTTGACATGCCGCGTGTTCATTGCCCCCGGTCTACACATCCTTCTCGTTGTCCCAATGGTATCTGTGGCGGGCATCAAGCATCAGCTGTCACAGCCAAAAGCAAGCATTACTTACATGGGCTCCCTTCTCCGGTGAGATTGACCTTCCGTGATGGCTCACCACATGTATCCGAGCTCATAAATCCGTATTGAGGAAGGGCCGCGCATCGTGGAGCACAACGATGCCTTCCTGCAGGGCTACGAGACTCTGTGAGGAACTTCCTGGCCATTCATGACCAGACAGAACGAGTAAATTGCGTTGACTGACCTTCTATATTACTCCTCGGTGTTCCCTGTATCGAGAGTCGCGCGTGCGTGCAGCCACGTCACGACTGCTAGTTGCGCCTTGGCCCTTCTGGAAGCCTTGCTGGCCATGATGCTCCCTTGTATGACAGGAGACGACATCTGGTTGCGATGAGAATTAACAGGACTGATATGTCGACAGGACTGACAGTGACACGTCGACAGTGGTGGTGGGGTAAGTGGGCAAGAGAGTTAGCGCCCCCGCCCCCGATTTAGTATCACAGGCGCTCTCGTACCATCGCGCAGCCAATCAAGTCCTAGATAAAGGTATACATGAATCCTCAACATATGAAAACATATGTCTGGCTCCGTGACAAGGCTACCTCCTCTTGTATAGTACAATGCTATACATTTGCAATGCTTACTGGCCTCGCTTGGGAATACAACTCGCTTTCTGTACACCAGACTAACTGAGATCTGCACACTGCGACGAATCGAAGTAGTACGAGGGAGCCTTGCGAGTCGACTACAAGTGGTCACTCAACGTATGCGTCCCAAGAATGATTTGACCCTGATGCTCTACTGCATCATGTTCATACTCTGCCACGGGAACCCGCCGCAACGATACATCTGGTTCAAATCTAATGGCATAGGTGCGTTGCGTATGTCCTGCAATTCCTTCAGAAGGCAACATATATGTTTCGCTCCCCAGTCCAAGTAAGCCATCCGTGCAACGCTCTCCTCACCCTCGCCCTCTGAGTGCGGCTTAACCTCTGCATCTGCCTTCTTCCATGCCAAGACCCTCGCGCGAACCTCCTGCAACATATTGGACGCTACCTGCTCGGTCGTACCAACCGGCGCACAGTGAGCTGCATCCTCCCATTTCCGTAGGCGCTCCATCCCCGCTGATACCATGTAATTGAACTCCATCGCGTTGAGTTGTCTTCTGAACTGTTCGTGAGTGAGCCTCTCCTCGCTGAGATACCCTTCGGGCTCGAAGGGATTGATGTCCGTTGGCTCCTCAACAAGCGGGTTGAAGTGGAATTCGTAAGGAGACCGGCTTAAGCCTATGTCGCTGATGCCGTTGCGAGCCGACTCGCAAAGGAACGGCTGCTGTGCCATTGTGATCAACTCCTTGGGCAGCTCCTCAGTTACCAGCCCGTAGAAAGGACTCGCATGCAGTCCCTTGCTACGAACATAGCTCCTGTGGTTGCTTTGCGCCTGCGCCTGTTTTCCGCTGTACCTGCTCATTAGCTTTGCCACATGACGTCAGATAGGTCTCATACGCCTCCGTATGCCTATATGCGGCTCGTTGGCATTTCTTTGCTGCTTGCTTATCTTCTTTGTTGAGATACTTGGCACGGCGGCCCATGGTGGGAGTCGAGTGGGACCCCACTTGCAGTCACAATGAGATTCACCTTACTGTCACGTAGATCACTTGTCATTCTCATTCACCAAATTCGACGATGCTACATTGAGCAAGAAGCCATCAAGATCTCGGGACACGCGCGGCAGTACATATACATGGCAGGGACAAGAACATATGTGGCAAGAAGTACTACAGAGCCTATCCTAGACCTCCATCACAGTGCCACGAGCTTCCGCGCCACGAAAGCGTTCGAGTGCCATTCTGAACGTCGGGAAGCCCTTATGGGCAGCGCCCGAGACACGATTGACGTATACAGATGCCTGGTCCCTACAGGCCTTCAACCAGAGAAGATCACAGAGAGTGGGTGACTTACCAATTGGCGAACACCCCCACTCTGCGGCCGCGAAAAACAACGTACCACGTGTCGACCGTCGGATCGAACTCGTCAATAATAGGCGTATATGGGGCGGCGGGCGCATGAGGGACTTGAGCGCCGTTTGCGACAGGCACGGGTGGAGCAACGGGGATGTGGTAGACTGCAGGGGCGGTAGTGACAGGAGGCGCAGGACGCCGGCGGACAATGGGCGGGGCCGGCTGCACGCCGACAGCAACCATCGGAGCAACATCAATGGTGGCGCGCCGGCGCACTCGGACGGTCACCGGGGTGGGAGGAGCCACCAACGGAGCAGCGTGGTTGTTGGTGATGTCCGGCGGAGGAGGCTCGACATTACCCTCCATGAGCTGTTCAGCCAGAACAGGCCAAAAGAACTGGCTGTCGTGCGCGGCAGGCAGAGGGGGCGAGACAACCGCCGGAGAAGACGGAGGCGGAGGGGGCTGCACAGTGTCTGCCGGGAGCCCGTCGACATCAGGAAGGGCCTCGGCAAGACCACGAAGGTCGTCGAGGCCATCCTGCCCCCCAGCCTCGATGTTGCTGGTGCTCGACATCGCCGCCAAACCTACGTCATGTTAGCCGCGAGTACTCGGGCCATCTATCATGAGTCTCACCGCGGTAGATCTGGATAGCGACCGCAAGCTGCTGAGGAGTGAGCTCCGCTGGTTCCGGCACTGGAGTGTTGTCGTGGTCGCTGGGAGGCATTGCGTTGGGCGGAAGTCGCATGGCGGCGGCGGCGGAAGAGATCGAGGTGGGAGATAGGGAATGGCTCGCGCTGGCTTTTAACTTGAAGGGTCGAACGGCCCACGTATTACTTGAACCGTTTGACAGGGCTTCCTTGCCGCGTCTTGAGGCCTAGAACCGTAATATAATCCTTTTAGGGTGATGAGCTGCCTTCCCGCCGGAGGATCCGGGAGCATGCTTACCTTACCTTGGATTTTTACAAAATTCTGTATACAGGGGAGGTAGCCTCTTTGACGAGACACTCACCGCGCTCGCCTGTGAACACAAGCCCTGATTAGCCGGTATGTTGCCGCGACAATTCTTTGGACTCACATAGGACCACACTCACCATTGTTCATATGTAGATCGAGATGCCCAACACGTGGACGACCGAAGAACAGAACGAGTGGTTTGCTGACAAAAGAGAGGCCTTCCTCGCAGCTCAGAAAGCTGGGAAAGTCTCCGCGTTTTTTACAGAAACCGAAGGACAATTCTTTGAGAGGTGGCCAGAGCTGACGCGCTTGTTTGGCCCCGATGTCGCGCTCAGCACCCTCACGGCCGAACAGGAGGTCGCGTATAGAGACGCGCTTGTCGCGCGAAAAAAGGTCTGCTCACGCGTCAGCACTGCATCTGAACGCGTCACTGAGAGCCTACCACAGCGAATTCACGCGAAGTTCTACAATCTGCATTCAAAACTCAAGAAAGGCGAGGCGAATGGGGTGTCACTAACCTCGCTGCTCAGCGCGTCCGGAAAAGGCGCTGGAACGCGGTGCCCGCAAGAACTGGAGGTGTACATGAAGCTATATTATAAGGACAAGATTCAGCCAGGTGTCGAGGCGGAGATAAAAGAGAACAACGTACCCAGTAGCAAGACGATCGGCGTGATACGTCGCCACACCCAACTCGCGTATGACGACGAAACCGAGGAGGTGAAAGCGGAGGTGAGGGCGAAGTTGTCGGAGTTGAAAGGTGCCGCCGCTGCCGCTGCCGCCAAACAGTCGTCTGCTGCCAATGCTGGTTTGAGCCCAGCGGAATATCAACGGTACGAAACCCCACTTGGTCTAAGAGAGTCGTGTAATCACTAATTCAACACTGAATATGTCAGCACTATCAATGCTCTGCCGCGGATTGGCCAGGAGGTTACGCGCACCTTATGTCTCAATTCAGGGTGGTCGGCCTTCCTTGTGATCGGAGGTCCGTGCCCCGAGGAGGGAGGGGCGTTGAAAACCATGGCGTATGTCACATGTCCTAGGCACAAAGTCAGTATGCTGACGCCATTGATCAGTTTCTTCGATGGACAAACAGTCGCTGGGCATACCTTCAAGCAAGCGTACATGGGCTACGAGGAGAACATAATCGATCCGTGGAATGCGTTCCTAAAGGCTGTGTACCGTAAGCACGTACACGCTGGCATTGGACCAAAGACTTATCTTCCCATACAGCGCGGGAAGAACGGTTACGGCGCGCGTTAACCTCCACACCCGAGCCAGAGTCCTCTGGGCCTTCCGTAGCTACGGCGCCACCACCATCTACAGCGCCACAGCCCGTCGTGAGACCCGTTGACGAGGAAGACCGCGCACGTCACAACGTTGCCTCACCTCAGGCCGAGGATACTGGAGGCTCCATAGAGGTTGGTGAGGAGGCTGGACCGTCGGGAGCGGAAGAGATTGACCCACCCGCGGCGGAGGAAGCTGGACCGTCGGGAGCAGAAGAGATTGGCCCACCCACGGCGGAAGAAGTTGGGCCATCTCTGATAGAAGATGCGGCAGCGTCATCGTTAACGTTCGGCGGTGCGAGTGAAGATCGGGCACGTACCGCGCCAGACGCTTCTCCCCTCCAACCTGCGTTGACCTATGACGCCGGCTCTTCCACGCGCAACGTGCCTTACACGTCCTACGGCAATGACGCTGACCTATTGGGTCTCCTGCCTAGCAATATACCTGGTGTATCAGCGCCGTTCAACTTCGACGGTCCACTTACCACAAGTGACGCTACGAGGTTCCTGATCGATGGGCCGCCCCACCCGTTGTCTTCTGGGAGTGCTATCGGTCAGCCGTCGCTTCTCGACATGCTCAATGAGAACAACCCGTTCCCAAACCTCGAGGGAACGGGCTTCTCATCCACGCAGACGGATGCAGCCGGCTTCGGGTATTCGCCATCTGCCCCGTCCTACGTTCCTGACTTCGACCCTTCGCTCCTTCCTGACCTCGACCCTTTGCTCCTTCCTGACCTCGACCCTTCGCTCCTTCCTGACCTCGACCCTTCGCTCCTTCCCGATCCTTCGCTCTTTCCCGACCTCAACACTTCGCTCCCGTTCGCAGGCGTTTCGAGTTCTTCTTTGGGCGATCCGGCCTCGGCCATGACACGGCCGACAACACAGGCTTCACCATGGTGGCCCCAGGCAGTTGAGGTTGCTACGTTGTCCGCCAACAGATCTGCTACGTCGTCAGCCAGCGAACCCACTATGCCGCCCGGCAACAAGCCCGCGACATCGTCTTCAAACGCCACGACCATACGTGCATCGCAGAGCGTCGATCCTCTGCCGGCGGTGCATTCAGGGCTATCTCCTACCGAGACCACGAGCCTGGTGGGACAAGCAGCGACGGCGGATGTGGCAGGTCATCAATCAGGACTTTCCCCAGCCTCCACCCATCTCGTGTCGCAGCAACCGACTAGAGTCCCACTCTCTCGCGTCGATGATGGTGGGAACTGTCCCTCAACAACCCCAGATGCCGAGCACGGACGTCCTCGGCGAGAGCGTCATGCCCCAAAGCCACGGGACGCTGACTGGATCCTGACTGCGACACGATCCCGAGCGAAAGAGAATGAGCAGGTGATGGACGCACCTGCCAAACAGAAGAAGCGGGGAGCGACTGACACGGCGACGCCCAGAGCTAAGAGACGTAAGACTTAGCAGTGTGCAATGCTCTTGACCACCCAGCTACATTGGACGTAGGCGTAGGCGGTAGTGTACAAAGTGTTCATCCTTGAAGGGCTTGTTCCGGTAGTAGACAACGTCGCCTCGATGTATTGTACTGTCTTGATGTCGCGCGTGCTGGCTTGAAGTCGACGCGTTGACTAAAATATATCCATGAGTTGTGTCTGCGGTACAGCAAGAGTAATGACCACTCACCCATGGCAATGCGCGCGCGATCTGTACAGAAACGCAGGTACATGAGCAGACGAGGAGAGGTGCGAGGGAGGTGCCATAGAGGCTGCAAAGTTGAACGTTGAAGTCGCTAGCGCCGGCGCGACCGTCTGGACTTAGGCAACGCAGCGCACCAAGGGACCGTCACATGCTCAGCGATGAGTCAGCGACTTACCAATCGACGTATCGGGCGACGGGCTACCCTTCCGGTCAGGCACTGTTTACCCATTGCGCACAGCGACAGGACCCATCCATCGCAGGCCGTCGATCAGGATCTCGGAGCCGTCGCTGGCAACCCAATATGGTTGAAGATCCCAATATGGTTGAAACCCGGCGCTGACGGCAAGCTGTAGGAGAACTGCCCGGTCGAATACCCCATAAACGGCCAAGGCGACGGCAGCGCTGTCGACGGCCGGGGTGACGCGGTCATATATGACGGCGCTCCCCTTTTACATGACCAGACGCGGTCATGTATAAGGGCGCTCGCTTTTATATATGAGCGCGGGCTGCTAATATAAAACCGCTATGGGCCGGCAGCCTCTACCGTTTTTACAACACCATTGTGTTCTAGTGTCAGGTATATTATATAGAGATATGCCGGTAGAGCCTGCTAGGGACACTACCCACTAAAAAACCACTGCATTTCGTCCAGTTCCAGGGCAAGGCCAGGTCGTTTTGAATTAGGCCATGCCAGGTAGCTAGTACCCTCGTCATCAGATAGTGCTATATCGTTGTACTTAGCCTTAGTGGCTTCCATATCGTGTCGCAGTCTGCTATGGAGCGTGAGGGCAATCCGATTACGGACGGCTGAGTCATCGTGATCCCAGCCTTCATGGTCGGCGTGGCCGATTACTCGCTCGCATCGGAGCTTCCAGATGAGGTGCGTGGCTTCCGATATCAATATTCTCCATAATCTCATGGCTCCTGTCCTAGTGCGGCCTTTGTCGTCACGCCAGCATGTTAGGCCAAGAGAGTGTATGTCGTCCATGCTCGGTCGGGCCCACGTGAGGCCTTTCTTTGACCATAGTGAAGATATGATCTCCCATATCTCATTCTGTCCCGTTGCTGGACATATTAATAGTATGTGTTCTAGGGACTCCTCTCCCCCGCAGAATGAGCAGCTGGCGCGTTGTTCATAGCCCTTAAACTTCAGCCAGTAATCGCCGCACCTCAGTGCGCCGTGCATACTCTTCCACAAGAGGACTGCAAAGGGACGACTAAAGTCCCTATGCCATAGACTACGCCAAATCGTCTCATCCGATATCGGCGGTTGGTTCTGCTCTAGGAGACGTCTTGCTGAGGAGATGTTCAGTGCTGTAAGTCTTCGTTGTCTCGTGTTATTTCGGGATATCACACCTCTATAGGCTATGGCTTGCGTCAGAGTTTGGAGCTTGGCTCCGGATAATGCAAACGGGATGTTGGCGGGTAGCTCTGGCTCAGGTATGTTATTGAATCCTTTGGGTGGTTTCGCGGAAGCATCGTCTCGTGCTTCGTTCATTATGTCCTGTTCACTAATGTTGGCCTGTCTTCGGAAGGTGGTTACTGCACATCGACTGCGCAAGGTGCTTACTAGGGACTTGATGTGGTTACTGAAAGGCACGTCTATCCATCCCCTGTTTTCCCAGTCTGGGAGGTGTTTGAAGAGGGCCTCAAATATGATGTCCTTGCCGTGGTATACGAAGTGGACGGGTACGTCTAGCGGGATATGTTGTATGGCGTACAAAGTTGCGACTATTGACCCTGGTACTTTCGCTTGCGAGACGCTATCACGGATGAGCGGGAAGATTGCATTACGATCGTCTCGGTGTCCAAAGAACACTGCTTGTTTATAGGGTTCCCTCATTTGGCCTCTTATGTCAGATTTGAAGTTTTTCATTGTGTCGAGGACGTATATATCCATTGCCTCCTCCGTCACTTGTCTGCCTGTTTTGGTTCTTACTGATGGGGGATGGTCTATAGTACTCTGGTCAACGAAGACACGGAAGAGTTCTGACAGGCCACCTCTCGAGGTGATAGAGGGGTCGAAGGTTAGACGGTCTCCTTCGCTGAGTACCGCCTTTTCATTCTGTTTCATTCGTCTCATCGTCAACGTCAGCCCGTCCTGTACATTAGGTACTAAGGGATTCCATTTCGGGAGGATCTCGCTCAGTATGCGGAAGGCTCCCAATTTGCATGAGCCCGGGTGTCGGCAACCGTTCGCTCGCATCGCCTGACATTCGGTACATGTGCATGTGTTATTGGCTAGGCTGTTGTCAGGCGAGGGTTTGTTGCCGCATGTGGTTTTGGTTACTTCGAGTAGGTCCACTATCAAGGATACTCCGTGTGTGTGACGTAGGCATTTACTTATTTCAGAGTTGTTTAGGCGTTTCAGAGCTTTCGTGGCTCCAATGTGGTACCATGTTGGGAGGAGGGTTTTAGTGTCTGAATCGACTCTGAGGGCTTCTAGTTGAGTCCTGTGCTTCTTTGCGATGCTGATCATGTTCTTGATGTACCTCGGTAGTTTGGAGCGGGCCGCGTATGCTGGTGACCAGCTCTGGATAAAGGTGTTTATTTGAGCTTTTCTGTCAATGGCTCCTGTGCTCTTTACTACGTGTTTTGCTAGGATCGCATCGACGGCGAAGGCCCATTTCGGCCTGTCGTCTTTCAAGGTCAGGTACCTCTTTACCCACATGAGCTGGATTGCTTCATTCCTCGCTCGTATGTCCAGGACTCCCAGACCTCCTTCACGTATCGGCTTGCAAAGGGTCGTCATGCTAATCGGGGGTGGAGCGTCTGAGCCCCACATGAAGTGTCGGATCAGTTTCGACAGTTCATCTTCTACGGTGCGTGGCATGCCTTGTACGACCGTTAGGTATTGCGATATGCCCCCAGGACCCATTTGAACTATGTGACGTTTGCCGGACATGGTGGGTCGACAGCGGCTCCAACGGTCTAAGAAGGTCTTGATCTTGTGGAGGGTGGGTGTCCAGACCGATACCTGGTCAACCCCGTTACCTATCCATGCTCCCAACACTCTGACCAGTTCTCCATCAAGCGCTATTCGGACTGAATTTGGTATTTCCGGCGGGGTTCCTTGGTCGGGATTTATGCGTCGACTCGCGATGACAGCGGCTCGGTATGCCGGCGGTCCAACTGGTACGACCTCAGTTTTACTGTCATTGAACTTCGCTCTTGAAGCTGAGCACCAGTTATGGAGGATAGCCCATAGATCGGACCATTGGTCGTTCTTTGAGAGGAACGTCGAGGTGTCGTCAGCGAATAGGGAGGTTATCAATCGTTCTAGGGCTCCAGGTATGTGGAAGCCTGTGATTTGTGAACGCCTCAATTGTATCGCTAAGGGTTCGATAGCTAGGTCGAAGAGAAGACACGACAAGGGATCGCCTTGGCGAACCCCTCTGACAACGGTGAATGATTTGCTTTTTTCGCCGTTCACTATTACTATGGTCTGTGCTACGGAGTACAGATTCTGGACCTTTCTTATGAACTTTGCTGGGAAGCCGAAGGCTTCCAGTGTCTTCCATAGGTATGTATGGTCGATCTTGTCGTACGCCTTCTCTTGATCGAGGGCAACAATTATCCCTTCTTCTTCAGTTACTTCTGCGTAGTCAACCAGGACGCGGCACATTTGGGTCTGGTTCTCTATGTGACGCTTCGGTACGAAACCCGCCTGATCTACGTGGATTACCTTGTGGACTACTTGGCCTAACTTTGAGGTGAGCGCCCTTGTGTATGTCTTGTAATCGGTATTTAACAGTGTGATCGGGCGATAGTTGGCTATGTTTCTCTTGTCGCCCTTCTTATATAGGGGGCATAGCCATCCGTCGGTGAAGTGACATTCAGGGCTTATCCCATGGGCTTCAATATCATTGGAAAACTGCGGTCAGGTACTTTGTGCTATTAAACTCGAACTTCTCGTGTTTATTCTTTGAACAGGTGCCGTCCATGAAGGCTATCCAGAACTCGTAGGGGATGCCGTCAGTTCCCGCTGCCTTACCAGTCTGTGTTTTCTTCAGAGCATCTTCGATGTCTTTTCCAGAGACATTAGATCCTATCAGTTCCTTTTCTTGAATGTCCAAGGCGGCAGGTACGTTGTAGAGGACTTCTCTTATCGCTTTCTCCTGGGCTTCTTTCGTGAAGCCCGGGCTGTCTTGATATTGAATATCATTGTGGTATTTACGTGTTAGTTCAGCCATACGGTCCGATCGCTTCTCATATCTGGGAGGATCGGAGCCTGGGATTTGTAGGGAGAATAGTATGTCTCTAGGCTTCTTGTCTTTGTTGATTGCTGACCAGTACTTGGTGATTCGTTCACCATTCAGCAGGTATCTTGTGGTTGTCGATTGTTTTATCGCGCTCTGTTCGTTCTTCTTCAGGTGTAAGATACGGTCGTGTATGACTTCTGATTCGTGTTGTAGCTCGGGGGAGCTTGTGAAGCGAGTGTCGGATTCTATTTTCTTTACATTTGCCGAGAGCGCAGCTAATTCCTGATGTATCCGAGGGCGTTTTTCTCGTGATCTTCGTTGAGCTAGGCGTTGAACGTCTTGTTTAAACTTCCTATGTACGTGTTGGACCGTGTGTTGTGGGTCCCAGTCTTTTGAAGTGAGGTCTCTGACCTCCCTTAGAGCTTTATGGCCAATCTCGGTTACGGACGCGATGAAGGCTGGGTCGTCCAGTAGGTTAAGTTGCATACTCCATCGACCTGGACCAATGACTGGTGTACTGTCGGCGCATAGGCGGACACCTGCTAGGCGGTGATCCGTTGGAATCCCGTGTGTTTCAATTGTCCACTCCAGAGACGAATTTACTAGCTTGTCAGTTGTGTATATACGGTCTAGACGGGACCGTGAGGGACTCGCTCTTTGGGGGAAAGTATAGTCCTTCTTATTAGGTTCTGATATGCGCCAGCCGTCTTGCAGTCCACAGCTTTGTATCAGTGCCTTAAGGTTCCGTACAGCGGTTTGGTTGTCCTCGCGTGCTGGTAGTCGGTCGAGGGCCTCTTCAACGATGTTGAAGTCGCCAGCAATGATGTCTGGTATTGTCATTTGCTTTTTGTCTATCTTCTTCTGAATCGTTCGCCAGAAGGCTGCATTCTCAGTCATGTTATTTGGTGCGTATATGTTTAGTATTGTTAGTGTTCTGTTCTGATGCCAGTGCATCTTGAGTAGTATAGCTCTTCCTGGTACAATCTCTGACGTTTCTACGTTACTGACATCGACGATTTCTCTGTTCAGGACTATCGCAACTCCATGTTTCGAGCTGGGGTTGATTGCACCAGAGTTCCAGATACTCATGCGACGTCCATATAACTGATGTAAGTCCGTGACGTCGTCCGTTGTCAGGTGCGTCTCTTGTAGGCATAGTATGCCAATGCGTTCGTTTCGCATTACTTGGTTCAAAGCGTTCCATTTCACGTTACACGGGCCCGTTAGGCTACCTTTTCCGCTAACATTGAGAGTACACAGGTATACGTTCGCTTTGGTTCGACGGCCGTTTGTTCGGCCTGTCTTTGGTTCGGGCTTGTTAGCTCCTTGGAACCCATCGGGTCTAGCCTGTGGACTCTCGCCGCAGCTTCCCACAGCATCGCTCGCAGAAGTGACAATGTGGGAAGCGGCCCTGTCACCGAATTCCTCCATCCCGTCATTAAGACTCTCGAGGGCGGGGGACACGAAACTCTCTCTGGGTCGGAGGAGAGGATGACCAGATACTGATTGTACGACCGTGTGAGTTTCTGTTGTTTCGTTATGTGCCGTTGCTTTACGCTTCCTTGCTACAACGATCTGCAAGGGGCGGAGGACGCTCCTGGTCCTCGCAGGTGACATGCTACCCTGTAGCTTTCGCCTCTCGGTGCGGGCAAGTCTAGAAGTGCCCGTGATCTGCGGGGACGATGTGTAGGTTGCGAGTCCCCCAGGGCCGTATGAGGTGGCAGGGAGCAGGGGTCGATAGTCGGTAGAAACGACGGGTTTCGTTGTCGGACGATGTTGACGTAACTATTAGCAGTCACGGAAGGAAGGGGGGAAGGGAAGTGGTTAGGCTACGCTGCCCGATGTTCGTTCCGCTGAACGATGGAACCGCTGTTCCCGCAAAGACACGCAAATACGCAGAGTTCGCTATACGCACGCTCGCCGCTGTCGCCGCAGATCCGCAAGAGAGAGAGAGAGAGATTTATACGCCGCTAAGAAAACAGAGCTGTCCTAGTTCGCAGGAGTTGCCTCTAACCGTCCGCTCTCGAAGTGGTGGTGGTAAGTAAGTCCCCCCCCCCTCGCGCCAGCACGCCATGTCCTTCCCCTCCCGACTTCCCACGCCCTCAAACCTTCCCGACTCTCCCCGTTCTCTCCCCTACTCCCCCTTCCTTCCGGTTGGTCAGTGAAGCCCCAGCCTCCTTCCCTCACCGTCTCCGCCCACCATGTCACTCCCTGGGCAATCCCCCTACGTCGTCCGCTTCTACCGTCTCCTCGAGCTCCTTCGACACGAACGCGACCTGGAACCCCGTCTCCTCCCCCACGATCCGACTGCCTGGCTGGCCTGGGCCCATGGAAGCCGTTGGCTATTGGTGTGTCCTTTTCCTAGGGCTCGTCGTCTCCCACGCTGACTGTACTCCAGCGCATGCTGTTCGAGTCTCGTAGCATCGCCGTAGCCTCCGGGGATATCTCTCTCCCTTCCGTCCGCCAGACACCATCCGTGCACGCCCTGATAGTGTACCTCGACACCATCTTCGCAACCCTTCCTTCCGAGCACGCGTCGTCTCTTCCCGAGCCATACCCCGTCATCGCCTGGTCGCCTAACCGCGTCCTCGCCGAGCAGAGCATTGCTGAGGAAGGTGCTCCACTCCCAGCCATTTCCTATCGCAGCAGTCCACTCGCTTTATCGAACCAGCGCGCTTCTTCCGTCGGATGGGACGTCGTCACCAACCAGCTGGAAGCTCTTAGTGATGCCCAGTGTTCGACCACCGACGCCCTTGACCAGCTCGATGGTGGGCTAGCCACGCTCTCCGCCGCGGTCCAAGGTATTCAAGACCAGCTGTCACACGGGCTGTACCTTCCGGACGATTATTCCGGAATTCCTCGTCGTTTAGTCGCCGCCACGTCTAGGGGTTCGATGTCTCTTAATCCACGCCCCATGGGCTTCACGCGTAGCGTTGCTGATGCTGCTGCTGACCGAGAGGCTGGAGGGTCCGGAAGGAACGGGGACGGAGGGAACGTTCGTAACGCAAGCCCTTCGCTGAACTGACCCCATGTAGTCGTCCGTAGCACCTTCTGTAACCGTGTGCTTGACTTAGTTGGAATGTATTTGGCCCGTTCGTGTTGTGTTCCCCAAGTCCGTACTTCTCGGAGATGCCTTGCGCCGTATTGCCGTCCCATTTCTCGCCCTGACGCGTTCGTATGTTGTCGATTCCGTGCGTAGACCGTGGGCCATGCCCACATCTCCCCCCACCTGAAATTCCGACCGTCCCCGGTCGGTCTCCTCCCACTCTCCATGACG